CCAAGCTGGCAGCCGCGCCGTCGGCTCCGGGAAGCCTGTAGCTCCCGGGTGCGCCGAGGTGCCTCGCCCCTTCTATAAGGATGAGGGGGGCGGGGCGCCCGTGGGTGTGGGCTTAAGTGCGGTGGGAGGAGCAGGGACAAGCCACTGAGCGCGGCACTCCGCTGCGGAGTGAGCGCGACCCTGGCCGCGTGAGACGGGAAAACAAAACCTCCAAGCGGGGAGGGGGGGCGGGGGTCCGGTCGAAATGCCCGGCTTCTGGCCGGACCGGACGCCCTGCCCGCGCTGCGATTCCTCCTGTCTCTGCCAGAGGAGCGTCCAGGGTGGAGGGGGCTAAAATGTCTTGCTGGGCTTCCCAGCCCCAGGCTAGTTGCCAAGGCGCGCCGAAAGCGCCCGCCCTCCTTCTCCACCCACAGGGACTGGATCCTCCCCCTGAAGATCTCTTGTATCTCTGGCAGGTGTAACTCACCTGTCCCAAAGTATTCTAGGCAAACCACACTCCTTTGCAAAGCTGAGTGTGAACTTTTTTCCTTCCTACTTCAGGACTATGGAATGATCGCGAGCAGGCCAGGCTGCTCTGTACCCCTGGGGTGCACTAAAACTTCTAAAACTAGAAGTTCCTTGGGACTCAAGGAGATAGGTTCAAGGAAACAAAATAAAATCTGATGGTCGAATTAAAAAATGAAGATATCTCAGCTCCCACCTCCCAAGTAAATTCCACCTCCCCTTATAAACAAGTCAGATAAAAGTCAGCCAAAGTGGCTAGAGGCGGGTGGCCTCCTCTTGCATACCTGAGATCCTGCAGCCAACTGCTGCTAGCTGTGGGAAATGGGGGTGGGGGCGCAGGAGGGAGGCATGCTCTCACAAAGCCTCCAACCATTCTTCTAAATGAAGACTGGAAACGGTATTTAGATGTTAGGAAGGCCTTCGCCTTTAGTGAAATGGGCATAATTGCCTAGTGTTTTATTAAGACAATATTTCGTTCTCACAAGTATTTTCTCATTTTATCAGAGATCCTCCAAGGTCCCCTTGCTATGATTATTACTCCCTTTTATGGTGAGGTAACTGAGGCTCCATAAAGTTAAAATATATGCCCGAGGTCTTTCAGCCATTCCCATCTCTTCTCATAGCACAGAGCTCTTCACATGGATACCATCAACCCTCTCAGCAGATGAAAATCAATGTTAAGACCAGTTGTTGCCAAATCTAGAAAGGGCTTTTTTTATGTTTCTCCATGAAAAGATTGTAAAAATTATGTTCAAACTCCATTTTTCTTCATATTTAAGACCTTAGACCTAATCAGAACTATGAAGACCATGATTCAGACTTCAGATAAGACTTTTAGAGTTGGTCATATCAGTTTGTCTTTTCTAGTTGGTATTCTTGGAGAATGTAAATGAGTGGTAGATGATGAGAATGGAATATGTTCTCCTGCATTCTTTCTGTACTATTTTCATTCTGAGAGTTTGAAAAAAAATATCTTTATAAGATGCTATATTTTTTAAAGGAGAAAAGCCAAAATGTAACTTAAACACCATTTTAACATGAATTAATCCCATTACTAATTTCATTTGTGATTTGCTACCATATGAAAAATTTCTTACACTTTTCAATTTTATTTTTTTTAAATGTCACATTTCTAATGAGAACAACAGCAAGGAAAAAATAGTGAAGTGGTTTGCCTTTTAAATGGTCACTAAACTTTTGTCTTACTAGTTTGGATTATTCTTAACCCCCAAAATGAGAAAGTATTTTTCTAGAATGTCATTTGAAAAGTAAAATATTTGATGGCATTCTTAGATATACACTTCATCCAAAGAAAATACACATTAAATTTAATTTTCAGCAATAAATTTTTATTTTAATTATATATCTTAAAAATGTAAGACCTTTTCATGATTTATATAGCTAAGAAAGCAAAGCTGAATTATTCTCACTTTATTTATGAATGAGACTTCTTTAAAATTTTACTTTCTCAACGAACAAACAAAATTGAAAAAGACTTATAGTCACAGAGAATAGACTGATGGTGTCAGAGGGAAGGGAAGTTGGGGGGCTGGGTGAAAGAGATAGAGGAATTAGAAGTACAATCCCTTTACAAATTGATGGTTAAAAAATAATCTCAGGGATGTAAGGTACAGCATAGGAAATATAGTCAATAATATTGCAATAACTATGTATTAGAAATATTAGAGGAAATACTTTGTAAAGTATATGATTGTCTAACCACTATGCTGTACACCTGAAACTATTACAAAATAATATTGAAAACTGTAACTGAAAAATAAAATCTAAAGTTCTTTAAAAATATAAAAATGTGAAATCCTAACTTTAAAAAAAAATTTCTCCATTGCAATGCATGCTGTAGCCAATTGGACTTCATATAATAGGAACAAACATCAGTCCATATAGTATCCAAGAATTAATGTTAATACCTTTACTCAACTCCACACTAATGCACCATTAGATATCTTATGTAACACTTTCCTTCTTTCAGTGTTTTCCTTCATTCTATTTTTGTCTGTTTTGTAGCTATTCACATTGCAACAGTGTTTTGGGGGATCTGAGGATTCACACAAATAGGACACTGGCAGTTGGATTGTTTGGTATCTTTTTTAAAAATTGATTTGAGAGAGGGAGAGCGAGAGCCAGAAACATCTGTAAGAGAAACATCCATAGGCCGCTTCTTTTTCTCACTTTGGGAACCAACCAGGGACTGAACCTGCAACCCGAGTCTATGCCCAGACCCACAACATAGTTATCAGGCTAGGTGCCTGTTTGGTACTTTCTGATGTTAGAGCAGAAAAAGTATGAATTTCTGAATTTTGGTCACCAGCACCCTCTAGTGACCAAAAGTTCTAATAACAATTTCTGAAAGAGATGTTTTGCTTAACACATTGCTTACCGCTCACGAGTTTTCGCGTGTTTCGAGCCCCATCTGTTAAGGACCGCTCACAAGTTTTCGCGTGTTTCGTGCCCCATCTGTTAAGGACCGCTCACGAGTTTTCTCGTGTTCCGTGCGCCATCTGTTAAGGACCCCTCACGTGTTTTCTCATGTTGCGCGCTATCTGTTAAGGACCTTGGATGTCAACACACTGTCTTGTCCACTGTGGGGCGCAGTTACGGTGTTTTGGCCAGGTTCAAGCCTCGGACTAATGAAAGGACAGGGTCCTCTCACTGCCACGTGCAAGTCCCAGCTGGAGGGCAGGGACCTCCCAGCACAATCATAGCCAAGGGCTGTGGTTGTAAGCTTGAACATATGGTCCGAACACGTGGCTCCACGAGCCTTGTGGTAGAGTTCAGGTGCATGTAGTTGAGTGAGGTTGAAACTCACGAGAATGCTGTAAACAACGTGATCACGTCCCTACTTTGCCTCGTGGCATCTGCTATAAAATAAAGACACGGCTTGTGGGCACTGGCGTTGTCTCCTCTTCAGGGAGCAGCGTCCCACCGAGACCCAGCTATTATTCTCTTGTCTGTCTTTCCTTAATCCTTTCACCCCCCGCCCCCCCCCAATCAGAGACACCCTTGGCCGTGCTGGCGCGGCACAGTTCACATCGAATGAAGAGATCTCATTGGTGGAAACCGTGCAGGTCAATCTACGAAAAACTATATAATTGCACGAACCCATAAAACATTGCAGTTACATTGTATTTTGGTCATTCGAATAGTCTTTGTCTTCAAGTTCCTGGCGCTTTTAGAAATGCCCTCTCTCAGAAAAAGGAAGGAAACCAACGAAACTGATACACTTCCGGAATTGTAACGATAATTTATCAGATAGTCCTAGTGAGATCGAAGATGCAGATGACTGTTTGGACGATTCCGGAGACGATTCTACTGACAGTGAAATTATTAGACCTGTAAGGAAGCGCAAGGTGGCAGTGCTTTCAATACTGACGAAGCTACTGATAATTGTTGGTCTGAAATTGACACACCACCACCTTACAAATGTTTGAAGGTCATGCTGGGGTCACTACATTTCCGTCTCAGTGTGACTCTGTACCCTGTTCCATTCCTAGTTAAGTGCACATACCTCCGTTGCAGGTTCTATCCCTGGCCCTAATCAGGGTATGTGCAGGAAGCAACCAATCAATGTGTCTCTCTCTCTCTGTCTCTCTCCTTCCCTCTCACTCTGTCTAAATATTAATGGAAAAATATCCTCAGGTGAGGATTAACAACAACAAAATAGTTGTCATCTCTCCCTCACTCTAGTCCCATTTCTCAAAGAGAGTACTAATACTACTTTTAACTACTTCTGTTTTTATATCTTTCAGTGCTTTTTTTAAAACTTAAATAAAATATTTATGAATCATCTATCTATATAATAAAAACCCAGTGGTCATAAAGACCAGTCACCAGAAGGCTGTGTGTGCGGCGAGGCGCCCGCAGGTGGGTGGGGCTGCATGCGCAGTGAGGTGTGTACGGGTGGGCGGGGACTTGACTCGGGGTCCCACAGCGTGCTGGGACTTGGGGGAGTCCCCCGGCACCTGTGGGACTTGGGGGTCCCAGGTCTCACGCAATTTACCGCGGGTCTGGGTCTCACGCGAGTTTGCGTGCTGGGTCACTAGTCTATATTATAAAAGGCCAGTGGCTGTAACGCTGTAACGCTGTAACAACCAAACGATCGGTCACCAGGAGGTGCATTGATGGGTCTCACAGCGTGGCAGGTCTCAGTCTCGCCGGCACGGTGGATCTAGGGCTGTGGTTCTCAACCTTCTGGCCCTTTAAATACAGTTCCTCATGTTGTGACCCAACCATAAAATTATTTTCGTTGCTACTTCATAACTGTAATGTTGCTACTGTTATGAATCGTAATGTAAATATCTGATATGCAGGATGGTCTTAGGCGACCCCTGTGAAAGGGTCGTTCGACCGCCAAAGGGGTCGCGACCCACAGGTTGAGAACCACTGCGTAACTAAACAAAGAAATCAGCCATTTTGGGGAAG